AGCCCTCTTAAAAACACTGTAAAAAGCCAGAATCTACAGTAGTACAACAATGAAAACACCGGAACAGTGAACTCCGGCGCGTCTCAGGGACGTTAATAACAGACTTAGATCTAGAGACTTAGATAGAAAGTCGTCGTAACGTTCCGTCAAAATGAATCAGAAGATATTTAATCAGGTTAACAGAACCTTACCTTTTTATAAATCTCAAAGCTGGTGAACTGCGTGGCTGCGTACGGGAATATCCTGACCATTTGGGCTCCATTCCCTTTGTAGAGGGCTATAAGGGACTCCTTCTTCACAATAGCAGTTAATCCACCCAAAACTCCGTGGTTCTTGTAGTGGGATGACTGCGCTTGGAGGAGAATCTTCATACGATCCAGTGGCGCCACTGTCGTTTTTGCGCACATACCCGCCACACCTAAAATAAAAATTATAATTAAGTTTCTTAAGCGTATCTTTTACTGATTGTGATGTTGACTTTTTATTAGGTTGGTAATTTAGGACACAGTTTGTAGTCGCTGAAAAAAAAAATTCACTTCATAAAAAGGAGAAGGTTCTCATTTCGACTGTATGTTTTTTTTTGCTCGGGCCTCTTATTCACAAGGGGTTGCACTTGTTCAGAATATGACATCTTAAATATTCAACAATTCTAAAAGCCTATGTACAGAATCAAAATAATTTTATGAGTCAGTCCGAAATTGCGAATCATTCGTTTGTATTGTTTTATTAGGTAGAAACCCTAGCAGAAATGATGTATTTGCGTCATCTAGACATACAGAGGGGGCGGCCTAATGTCCGGCGACTCTGTGGCTGGCTTTAGATGACCTTCCAATTACAATACTTGTCGTCGCGCGATCAATTCATTGTACCTAGGTATACATAAAAAGAGGAAATACCTATTTTACTGAATAAATCCTATATTTTTAGTTTCATAAAAAAGCATTGATTGGTAGTTTTTGTATCCACAGGGCATGGATTTCGTTCTATGTAGGTGGTGTTATCGCAATTTCCGTGACGGTTGATATAAACAAAGCATTTTTCATGCTAGCATAGCATGGTCAAACTGAGACATCGAGAAGAAAAAGCAGGTGTCTTTAGAACTTATTTTCTATTAGCAGGTAATGGGAATGATTAACTGGTTGAGTACCGTCATTATAGACACAATTAAAGAACTATGGGTTGCGGTCACTGGCGACCGCTCGTGACAGTTTAATGATGAAGAAGTATTGTCTGCTTTTTGATGTTGGGAATATAAACTAAAGGGAATATCGAAAAAAAACTATGTAGGTAAATATGCAGTTAGGTGAACTACTGACATGGATTTATTATTTGATAGTGAATTCAGATTAATTTTTAATTTAAGTATTATTATTTAAACTGTCAAACACCAAGCGGTCACCGGTGACCGCAACCTATTGTTCTATAATTGTGTCTACAAAACCGGTACTCGACGAGTTAAAATGAGTTAAAATTGAAGTATTATTATTACCTATAATAATACTTCAATTTTAACTCATTATTATAATTTATAATAAAAAGTCAAAGCATCTTACTTTAACTGATAGATAATTTGAAGTTCCTATTTTCTATATCTTAGCAGTGGTGAAAAAGGTTGTTAGAAATTTTAATTCTACTTCTTTTAAAAGCTTCTTCTTTTTATAGTGGTTATGGACTTTCTTGTAATGGGGATGATCGAACAATAACAGATCATAGTTACTTATTTAATTAAACATAATATCCACTGTTAAAAATAAATTAAATTTATTTTGCTAATCGTGTAACATAAATAATAAATATTATGTTGTTATTTACCAATAAACTATTTGTCAATGTAACTGATACGGAATGATAAGCATATCACGGATAAGACTGGACAGTTAGACATCTTACAGAATTCACAGATTGTTTATCAGATTTATTTTAATTCTATATATAGCTTGTATTAAAATTTAGTTTTTCAAAATAGTTTTCATTATGTTTTTATTAAAAAGTACTTATAACTGGTTTATTTTGGTTATTTTTCCTTATACATAAATTCACTGTAAAGTATTCTATAATATTGTAAGCAATTTTGTAATTTAATTGACTGGATATATAAAAAAATAAAGTGTTTTAAATTAAAAGTATTTAGGATATTAATTTATGTTTAAAATGTGCTTGGATAATGACCTCCTTGCCTACATAATTAAACTTTCTTTGGCTCAGTTTGTGTATGGCACACTTCTAATAACATTAGTACCTACCTACTTTACTTATTAATTTATTATAGTAAAACGGATAAACACTTACCTCCAGCCAATAAGTTCTTGAGTATAAAATCAAGATTATTTTTCTGTTCCATAGTTAAGGCCATATTCACTTCAGTTTATAAAACTATATTTTTTTAAAGAAACAAAATAATATAACCACTGTTCTCATTAGATATTCACATTTGTAAGCATATATTCGATTAAAAATTACCAGCTAACACCATGGCACGGTTTAGAAATTCTCCAATTAATTTATTCAAAGTACAAACGAACAGTGGACATTTCTTGACGATTGTTCACGCGACATCTGCGCCGACTTTCACCACCGATTTGTAGCCGAAAGAAAACTTTATTCACGTTAGCTGCATGCCGGTTCCGCGGGCAAGTGAGCGAGCGCGTTGACTCGACTGACTGACGCGGCCGCGACGAACCTAAATCCAATTTGAATGTTCAAATCTCAACACTATTCGCGTCCGCTGTCTAGCAATCAGCTGACGCTGTTTTCCATATATTTGTTTATCAATCTAAAATCGCAATCATGTATTTATGACGTCTGTACATATTTTTATTCTTAATTACGTTAATAACAATAAAAGGCTGATTAGCTTTTGAAATTAATTATTTTGTTTAATTTATTTTATTGAACAACAAAACAACACCGGCATTCATCATCTTATTTTCCCTCATTGACAGTATTGTGACGTGTGACGTGAACTGGTGACTGTGCCGAGGTGACAGTTCGATTAAATGTCGAAATGACATTTAACTCTATGGTTACTAATTTGGGTGCGTTTACGAATATTGCTACAATTATATTTCTTTAGTTTATTATTTATACTGGGTACGGCATTGATTAAAATCAAAATATAACGACATTACTACCACAATCAATGAAACACAAATATGCTAAGAATTCCAAAAAAGACTATCAAAAACCTGTCTACGTAATGTTCATATTCATTACTCAATATTATTTTGTCCAAAGACTGTATGTCGAGGTTGAGGACATTATTTCGACAAAATAACAAAAATCGGTTGATTTTTGTTGTTTGTTTCTTAAAAAGTTCGACATAATTTTACTTGTTGTTTGTTGTCATGTCGAGACAAATGGTTTAGAAAGCCATCTTTGTAAATGTACTTGGTATGTGCCCATCGAATTCCGAAAGTTGTAAGGTTGTGAGGGTTTTTTTGTTTTTTTTAAGGGGGGAAAATCATCGAATGACTGCTCCCGCCTCACCCAGGCGAGAGCGAGTGTCAGACTCTTACTGACTAAAAACCACCCCGTTCCTTCTCCTGCACGTCGAGCCGGAGCCCCGGTTACCCGTTAGGTTCTCCGCGACAAGGTTGTGAGGGTAGCAATATCAAGCTCCTTTCAAAAAAATTTAGTATCTTCTTTCCTATCAGGAACAAAAGAAAAAAAAGTAATGATAAAGGAACCTAAAACCTCTATCAGTGTTTAAAAAAAAAATACTATGTAGAAAGGTCTATCTCTTCATTAGACAGTACCTACCTATATATACATGGTACATACGTCGCGGAGAACCTAACGGGTAACCGGGGCTCCGGCTCGACGTGCAGGAGAAGGAATGGGGTGGTTTTTAGTCAGTAAGAGTCTGACACTCCCTCCCGCCTCACCCAGGCGAGAGCAGTCATTCGATGATTTACCCCCTTAAAAAAAAATACATGGTACATACACCTTTGTCCCACGGGGGTAGCCGGTAGATATACAGAAACTCTAAAACGACATCATGTTTTATTTGAAGTGCTATTGGCTATGGTGAGCAGTGGATGTCTTCTAGCAGTAGTGGCTGTGGCTGATCTGATGATGATGATTGTTAAATTAAAATACTTAATAAAATATAGCTTTGTGGTTCCTATGAAACTAATTAATTATTTTTTATCGATTTTTAAACTGTCAAACACCAAGCGGTCACCGGTGACCGCAACCTATTGTTCTATAATTGTGTCTACAAAACCGGTACTCGACGAGTTAAAGTTAGATTGTTATGAATCTAACTTTAAAAATAAAATAAACGCATGGCTAAACGTTACTGTCCATACATAAGTATTCTTGCCTATCTTGCGATTATTATATATTGCATGTTCAAGTAATAAAATTATCCTTAGGTACCTCTAAACAACTTAAGTAAAAAATATATGTTAAACTTTTTCGATAGTTCCTGATTGTAATATGCCTACTAGATATTTGTTTTAGTCTTTGCGTAATAGGTTAATAACACAGTATTAAATATTGTACATTTCTGTGCATTATTGGTGTTTATCAGGAGTCATTCTCGAGTTTCTGCTTCTTTTTAATATGGGTTAGTAACGAAACTCTGAAATATTTGGTAGATTAGTAAAATAATGAGAATAAGTATAATTATGAGAATAATAAGATAGGTATATTTGTAAAATAATGAGGCTAGAAAATAAATATTTCTGTTATCGTCTTGTAACGATCACGTATCTAATTGTTATAAGTATATACCTGGTTTTGTACATATGTAAGTAACTCGTAAGTCTGCATACCTATTTACTATTGCGTAGGTACCTAGCTGATAAGCCTAGGCCCCTAAGGATTCAATTCAAAAGAATTACATAGGTACAACTGCAGTTAGTACACTTAGGTACCTACTAATCCTATTATTTTGTTTTCAATGCATTATATTATTATTCAGTATGTTAATATACTATGCCCCTAAGGTATTTTTTAAGGGGGGAAAATCATCGAATGTGTGCTCCCGCCTGGGTGAGGCGTGAGGGACTGTCAGACTCTTACTGACTAAAAACCACCCCGTTCCTACTCCTGCACTTCGAGCCCGGTAACCCGTTAGGTTCTCCGCGACGACGCCTCTAAGGTATAGAATTATCTATACAATGGAGTCAGTGCCAGTGTTCACTGTTATGGTCAGCAAGTACAGCGTAGTTCTCTGATTTTGGAACCTTCCCTTACCAGATGAATAAATGATAGAATACAAAATTGTTTATCTAATTTGTGAACATTTATTAAAAAACCAAACAAAACTAGGTATCTAATTGCACCGATGAGGCGCTTATTGCGTTAGACTCACCAATGTGACATGTCGCACATTCTACTTGCTTGATGTAATTTTCCTGGAAACGGTGACTTATTACGCAATTATGAGTTTAAGGATCGCCAGACACAGGACATTTTATTTAAAATATTAAATTTACGTAGAGTTTGGGACGAAAACGGTGTGTTGTTTTCTTGAATATGGAAAGGTTCTTCTGCCTACTCTTTTAGATAAATAAAGCCGTGATATTATGCTCCGAGGACGATGATCAAGGATATTTCTCAATTTTGCTGTACCTACTTTGCGCAGATTCTAAGAGTTTCTGAGTGAAATTCCTTGAATCGATTTCGGCCGAGGCTTGAAGGTCACCTTGACGCTGGTTGGCGCGAAAGCTCAAATAGGACGCGAGAGACCCGACCCGAAATCATTCCGTACCTACATGGCGCTTAGCACGTTCCACCGCCTTCGTATATAAAAGAAAACTTACGATACGTTGCACCAGCATTGCTGATCATTTACCCATTGACATTAGCGCGTGGCCATCGCGTTGTACAGTCACAGGACGCGTAGCATTTGACAGCGTCGGACAATAACAGAAGCGCGCGTGCTTTTGAGTGATAAAGTTGTATATGTGTCGAGTGCGAATAAATATTTTATTTGTGTGTCATTTTTTATTATAAATTTTTGTATAAAATTAATACTGAATCATGGAAGTGCCGGTGAGAGAAAGTCTTCTGTGGCGTAAGTGTTTATAATAATTTTATTTCAAGTTTTAATTGAAAGCGCGCGTAAAGTTAAATGTTTAGTTATCTGCTTGTAGTGCATGTTACTTTTTTATTTTTACTCTGTGACAATCAATTAAATCAGTTATCGATACTAAAAAACAAAAAAACAATAATTGCACCTAATTAAAATTTTACGTATAATTTTCACATTAAAAATAAAACTAAATCGAAAATAGCCCGGTTCATATTGAAGCAAAGAAAATTTTGTTTATTTTGGTCGCGCCCTCCAGCGTCCTTGTGGATTGAAGGTCACAGGAGTCGAACTAAAAGGTCAATATCCTTGTTTATGGTATACCCAGAATAGTACTGACTGTTGACGTCGTGATTTCGCAAAACCATGTTACTGCTATTTCCAGCATGATATCGTAACGATAAAGTACTCATTTGCATGATGTTGGCATATCCTATAAAATATAATTCATACATTTATTGAGACACGAATCTTATAACAGTTTTTAGGAACCTTCTATTAGAAAATAAATGTATGCTTATGGTACTGGGAACAGTTTTTTTTAAGGAAAAGGAGGCAAACGTGCGCACGGATCACCTGATGGTAAGCGATCAGCGCCGCCCATGGACACCAGAGGAATCACAGGTGCATTCCCGGCCTTTTAAAAAGGGAATACGCTCTTTTCTTGAAGGTCAAACGGGATAGGTAGGTACTTGCACAGAATTAGAAGGGTGATAACTTAGATTCCCTATTTCAATAAGTAGGTACGCCTTAATGTTTGCCTGTCACCCCTCCTATCGAAATAAGTGTTATAAATGAGAAAGTTTGTGAGTTTTGTGTTGTGTGTATGTTCGGTTTATAATCACGTTAAGAGGTTGAAGGGATTGCAATGTTTGAAATTTGAAATTAGGGTAGATTATGGTCTGGTCTGGAATACATAGGCTAGGAATCTTTATCCTACGGGAACGTCAGGGAAACCGCTGGCAAAAGTTATAGTTTATTAATAACTTGTCTAGTTTTGTTGGTGCTATAGTACACCATGGTAATTATCAAATCGATTAACAAAAATTTGTGACGCGATGACGTCCGTCACGCACGTCGTTCGTGTCGTTCTAAATCTGCATTCTGCATTCCTCTTATTTTTCCTGTTAACCATTTGGTGCACGGGATAAACGAAATTCGGATTTAATTATTGTAGAAATTAGAAAATTGAACCCTAGTTTATTGACTAAATAGTATGTATATGATAGAACCTTAGTTCATAGATAGACCTTTATATTATTGTTTATGATTCCGGTTACGTGTCTTCGAGAGTTTTTGTTTTATGTATTGGTCTGAATAAAACTACATTTCTATAGTTAAAACTGTTTATCCTTATTAAAATTAACAATTATATTAGGTACTTATAACATAACATAACATAACATAACGCCTTTTGTCCCCAAAAGGGGTAGGCAAAGGTGCAAATTACGGTACTTAACAGTTTGAATGCCGATACTGGCCGATAGAAAACCGTTTAAGGTAAATCCTCCGCTATCGTGGCCCATACCTTGTCCCCCATGGCGTTCAAGGTGTTAATGCCAATGTACAGTGTAACACCCACTCTTCACTATTTATGTTATGAGTCCCATGTAATAGGGAGTGAGCCTATTGCCATATACCGGACACATTTCCCCAATCCAGTAATACTTTATCCGATCTGAGACTTATATATCATAGCGAATTAGCGACCCGCCCCGGCTTCACACGGGTGCAATATGTATATACATACAAACCTTCCTTAAGAATCACTCTATCTATTAAAAAAAACCGCATCAAAATCCGTTGCGTAGTTTTAAAGATCTAAGCATACATACGGACATACAGCGAAAGCGACTTTGTTTTATACTATGTATTGATAGTAAATGCGTTTATTTAATTACATTTTATGTATTAATATTATTTAATTTACCTACGAACTTTCCCTATCCCCACCCTTTTCCGCCTGTGGTACTCACATTTTCATTACTTGTTGAACTTTCCTCAAGAATATCTCTATCCATTGGTGAAAATAGCATAAAAATCCGCTTTGTAGTTTTTGAGTTCATTTCGAACAAACACGGACGGGGAAATTTGTTTAGTAATGGCAATTAGTTTTTCTAGACGACAATAATATAATTAGTACCTCAGTAATACGTCTTATATATTTGGCTCCTGTAATTATTATATGTATTAAAATAAAACATGATTATTATTGTACAAAATACCTACTAGTTACTGGTTTATTTGATACTAGCGACCCGCCCCGGCTTCGCACGGGTGCAATATGCATGTATTATACATACAAATCTTCCTTAAGAATCACTCTATCTATTAAAAAAAAACGCATCAAAATCCGTTGCGTAGTTTTAAAGATCTAAACATACATACGGACATACAGCGAAAGCGACTTTGTTTTATACTATGTATTGATTCTCAGTAGTTAGTTGCACGGAGTCTGGAGAATTCCAGATTTCACTCACTTAAATCATATGAATATGAACTAAATTTTCTAAATGTTTATAATACATTACTTCCTAAAAATCATCATAATATGAACAGCTGGCATTTAGGGCTTACAAATAAACTAGCCATATTTACAGGCATAGGTATTCCAGGAAGCACTATTTTAATATATCGTGTGTCATTGATAGGAGATAATAAAAATTGCTGTACTTCATTATCTTCCTTTTATATCGGCTCATTATTAACCTTTGAAAAGGATACTAAATCCCATATAGGCATAAAGTTAGGTACAATCGATAACTCATTAAGTTTATTTATAGCATCAAGGCAGGAGTCTGATCATTTCATTTTAAGTATTTCAATTGTTTTGCCTGTCTGGTGTTAGGTCGCAATTTAGCCTGTTATTATGGCAACAGACTTATGCTCTATTACAAAGAAATGTTGCATAATAGCAATATATGTACATCACTTCACTATCACTACCTCTACATAGAATAAAACAAAGTCTATCCGCCGTCTGTCTGTCCCTATGTATGCTTAGATCTTTAAAACTACGCAACCGATTTTGATGTGTTTTTGTTTTAATAGATAAAGTGATTCTTAAGGAAGGTTCATATGTATAATTCATGCATATTGCACCCTTGCGAAGCCGGGGCGGGTCGCTAGTAATATCAATAAATAATATCGACAACAAATGTGAGAGAGCCATGCTTCGGCACGATTAGACCAGCTTGACCGGAGTGATACCACGGCCTCGCAGAAAACCGACGTGACACAACGCTTGTGTTGTGTTTCGTCGTGTGAGTGAGGTTATCGGAGGCCTTTTACTCCCTCTCTCATCTCCCCAATCCCTAAATCCTCAACAATCCTAAAATTCTCAACTCCCAATAGGCCGACAACGCACTTGTAAAACCTCCTGGTGTTCGGGTGTCTATGGTCGGCGCAGATTGCTTACCATCCGGTAATTCGTCTGCTCGTTTGCCGGCTGTCCCATTAAATAAAGCCAAGTCTTTAGGCCTTCTCTATATAATTTATAAGGATTTTGTCGTAATCCTCGCTTGGCAGGCAGGTTGTAAATTGCAGTTGCAAGTTGCATCGCAGTCGCATACAACGCTGAAATGTTTCGTCCTGAAATATTTAATAGGTTTTACACACCAGAGATTTCATGAATATCTTGAATTTTAACAGTGAAAGCATTTATGAGCTTTGATATGAGTTTCGACAAGCATAAAATTAAATGTTTTTCGTCGAATGCTTTTATCTTAATATTGGAGCTACACATCAATTTATCTGTGCTCTTTATTACTGCAATAACTGAAAGCAGACAATCAGACAATTTTATTTTCGTTCATGGTGTACGTTGTGCTGATTGTAATCTGAACTTAAATGTCTTTGTCTAGACTTAATGAAAAGTCTAGTCTAGGAACTCTTCGCGGAGAACCTAACGGGTAACCGGGGCTCCGGCTCGAAGTGCAGGAGAAGGAACGGGGTGGTTTTTAGTCAGTAAGAGTCTGACACTTCCTCCCGCCTCACCCAGGCGGGAGCAGACATTCGATGATTTCCCCCTTTAAAAAAAAGTCTAGGAACTTGACATTACGTGTTATCATAAGTGTTGGTTTGTTTTTCGACTGGGGGATCAGCGTGCTGTGCATAAGACGCTAATATTCTACGTACCTGCGTTTCTTTTGCCCTTTAGACTCTAGTAAGAAATTCCAACGTTTAGGTACCTATTCTATATAAAAACAACATTGTTGTAGTTGAAAAACAATATATTTTGGTTTTCCTTATTTCACTCTTAAATGTGTAAGTGGGACGACCGCATTGTGTTGAAAATATCCTGTTTTATTATCCTGTTGGCGTAAGCATATTAAAACTTCTTATTTGTCTCTGGCTAAGAAAAACATCACAACACGTAGGTTTTTTTATTGCATGAGCCGGTAAACGAGCAGACGGATCACCTGATGGTAAGCAATCGGCGTCGCCCATGGACACCCGGAACACCAGAGGCGTTACAAGTGCGTTACCGGCATTTTGGGAATTAGGAGTTTTAGGATCGTTGGAGATTCAGGAATTGGGGAGATTGGGGAAGGGGAGGGTAATTAGGCCTCCGGTAACCTCACTCACACGACGAAACACAACGCAAGCGTTGCTTCACGTCGGTTTCCTGTGAGGCCGTGGTATCACTCCGGTCGAGCCGGCCCATTCGTGCCGAAGCATGGCTCTCCCACACTTAAAATTTACTTAGACTTTTAAATCAAATTCTTTTAACAAAACACTAGGTACACGTTGCATATCCCGAAGTTAGGTTAAACATAGGTGTTTAGCCCGAGACCTGGGGATTCAAACTGTGACCCTTAGGCTCTTAGCTTAGTACTTAGTCGCGCTTGTCACCACAACATAAGCTAAGCAGATGGTCCCGTTTGTCTCTAACATATAATGAGTACCTACATAATGATAAAATAGTGTCTGATGAAGTGATGACTCATGATGCGTCGTTTCCCGTGTGTCGAAGTAATAGTATGTGATAAAGTGTCATGACGTATGTTTATTTAATGTGGGTAATATAAGTAGTTATTTTACGCGTTTCTTTACTTAATTGTATTAATGGACTAGCTGTTGCCCGCGACTTTGTTCGCGTAGAATATGAGTTTTAGAACATAAAATTTTCTTTGTTTCAATTTTCCAAAATAAAAGAAGGTTATGTTACTCCTTAGTACACCAGCTACCTGCCAATAACAGTCTTGCAAAATCGGTCCAGTCATTCCAGAGATAAACCAGTACAAACACACAAACAGACAAACATTGTAAAGTATGTTATTTTGGTAGGTGTGTGTGATTTTATAATACTACAAACAGTAGGTATTTTTATTTATTATAGCTATTTATCTGTGTAGATATGGTAGGCAGAATTTCAGAATACGGATGTTATTTCCTGCTGTTTCTGTGGACGCAGTTTCTCGAAGTTTCTCTTATCATTTCCCGAAGGGACTGGCATAAAATTAATCTCTATATTTTTGTGTTATTAGGTACCTACGTACGGCTTGCGTTTAGCCCTTTAGTGCTTCTACATTGCAGTATAAAAAATAATTAAAAATAGGTGAACTTATTCTTCATCATCAACTATAACAGTCAGTTCACTCCTGGATTAGAGGTTCCTAAATTTACATCTAGATAACTACGTAAGAGGGTTTGCGTTAGATTTTTTGACAACACACTAATTTATTTATTTATTTAGAGGTATTTGTTTAAAGCTTCATGTACATAAGGTGGACTTAATGCCGCAGGCGTTTTCTCCCAGTCTGACCTTTGGGTGATGCAGAGAAGAGTTGCTGGTGTGAGCAAGAAGCAAGCAACTATTTAATAGAGCAAATAAAATAGATAGACTTACATATTTCAGAGATAAACATAAATAAACATAATTATAATATTTAGACTACACACGAGTACAACACTGTTATAATGTAATTCAAAAATAGTTGTTTTGGGTTTAGCAGGGATACTTTATGACGTCTCAACATTACCAGTAACCTAAGTAGTGAGATAAATCAGGTATGAGGCATCTATAATACGACAGGAAAACTGGCTGCAGGTGGGTTTTATGATTTATGTTTAAATTATACCTACTTATCGGTTTGACTTAACCTACTGCACCTACGTGACCTCAGTCGCATGGGAGGCCTAAACCACGCTAATATTTATGGTATTATTACCGTGCCTAAACAGAACCACGCGTGACCTAATACTTAATAAATCTTACCTTACCTGTATCTTATAGGTACTATTATATAAAGCGGAAGAGTTTGTTTTTTTGTTTGTTTGAACGCGCTAATCTCCGTAACTACAAGTCGGATTGATTTGAATAATTATTTTATATATGCTAGGCTAGGCTACGCTATAAAACAGCGACCAATAGGAGCTGAGCAGAACATGTGAAACCGAGCAGAAGTAGGTAGTTAAACTTAAAAAATGATTTAAGAGGAAACAAACTGACTTGTGGAATCGTACAATGGTTTTTCCAATATAATAATATCATCGTATTTACTTTATATGTATAAGGTTATAGGTATGCAAACAAAAAGGAACCTACTTACTTATTTATTTGCTAAAATAAGAAACGGAGTCGGTTCCCGTTGACTCCTACGTCTCCTACTTTACGAGGTGTGTCCGTTCCGATGGTGACGGTCTCGAGCTTCTCGGCGTAACTCTGACGCCCACTCTCAACTTTGGCATGTATATTGAGGCAAAGGCGCAACTGGTTGGTAGAAAGTTGGGTGTCCTGTCGAGAGTGAGACGGTACTTCGCGCTGGAGCAGTTACTCACTCTTTACCAAACACAAGTTCGGTCGTGTGGAGTACTGCTCCCATCTTTGGGATTTGAAACATTATTACCAGAAAGTTTAACTTTCACAAAAAGCGAGGGGGATATTCACATAAATATGAAAAACTCTTTATTATGTCTCGGGATATCTACAAAATCTGGACTCGATAGAATCGATAGAAACAAGGCGAAAAATCCAAAATATGATTAAAAATAAAATCAGCTACAGAAAGACATAATAATGTCTGTTTCGTATGTTTATTTTTCTATGCATCGCATGTGAATGCATTATGTTTGCAGTTTTACCTTGGCGGTCGGTCGTGGATTCCCGATAGGATATAAATTATATGCATATCAATGTTTTATTACACTTGTCTATATGTAGATACAAGTACTTTGTCACCTTGCCTTGTTATATAAAGGCGTTTAATTAGTAGTACAAGTACATTGTTTAGTAACAGTAAAAAACTTTATGTAGACAAGCATATTACAAACTTAATGAATATATAGAGGATAAAAATGCTTGGATGCAGGCTAGTCCGGCTCCACAGGATAACTAAAAACACTGTTGTTTTAATGAAATCGTAAATAATACAGCCATATTGCTAAATTGTATATTTTTTAACTTATATAACCAATGTAAATGTGAGAGCCCTGTAATTAACTTAATATTAAATTAGATTAGTAGAATTCATTTGTGTCAGCTTGGAGTTGTCATGCTCACTCAAAGGTCTCATTGGCGGTGGCGCGTGCATTGGATCGCTCGATTCCCTACAATATGGTTGAGTTGGGCGGTGCTGGTGTACGTGTCATGTTCGTGAACGGGCGCCGTCAACTGGGACTGGTCAGCTCCAGACTGTATTATTGTTCTTAAGGTTATTTTCTTTCTTGATCACTTTGACTGGATTTTGGTGTTACATTGTTCTCGCACAATCCAACCAGCAAAACTATGTAACTAGTAAATTGTATTGTGAACCTGATTGAAAAAGAGTAACCTATGGAGTTTCTTGCTCGTTCTTCTCCATAGGAATCTACACCTTGGAATGAGCAAATAGCTTCACTTTTAATATTAATTTTATTTTGACGTTCAAAAGTGCCATTCTGGCCTAATTGAAATAAATGATTTTGACTTTGACTTTGAAACAGTCACTCCCTATGCCTTGTTCACACTACGCTAGTATTTAAGTCGAGTAGCGAATATTCAGTAGTCCTCCCTCGCTTCTCTCCCAAAATGTAAGTCAGAGGGAACTACCAAATATTCGCAACTGGACTAAAATACTAGCGTAGTGTGAACAAGGCATTAAACATGATCTACTGACCGAGTAGCGAGCAGGTAACTAATACAATCTACTTATTCCATTTAAAACTGTAACAGCTATACACAAACCAAGATTGATGTGCAATAATAGCAAAAAAAAACCAAAAGGGTAGAACGGTTCTACATCTGTCTGTTTGGTTAACATTGTCGGTTTCTTTCTTATTAGGAGTGACAGTTTTGAGCGAAAGCCCACAGATGTATAATATTAAGGTCATATATACTACGTACTAGTCTTTAGTCATAGGTATATTATAAGTCCTAGCCTTACCTTAATGGTTTGATTACCAACATGTCACATCGATCTTGAAAAGGTATAAGTATCTAATAAAAATAACCCTTATTATCCTGAAACATCCATTGTCTCATTATTTATTTATTGCGTCTTAATAGGGAGTAGACATATACATAATTAGGAATTTCAAAGATCATAATTCAAAAGACATTTTAAAGAGAATTAAATGTATATCTAAGTAGCTAGACATCTACCCGTCATATGAGAGCTGGAGGTGGTTTGACTTCAATATTAAAGGAAGGCGTGTTTGTCTGTCAGTATCTGTTTGTCGAAGCCAATCACTTAGATGATAGATTCTTGGAAACCTGTTGATAAATCGATCAAGAAAGGAAATTAAGTGAAAGCTTGTATTGTGGCTTACGTATACCTATAGGTACTTGTCTATTATTTGTAGGTAGATAGGCAAATAAACTCTTTCCCACAGTTTCACATATGTGCTTTGTTAGTCTTTAGTCTGCTACCGTAAGCCGTGATGTACCAAGAAACTGTTCCCTCCTTCATCATCTTTAAGCACGTATTGTTAGATGCAAAATATTAATTTCGGGACATTCGGAACATGGACCATTTTGGCTCGGTATACGAAAATGGAAACAAGATCTTAAAGAGTAGTGGAAACTACATAAAAAAATCAATAAACGGATCAGAAGCAGAAAAATCCAACCTATCTTAAGTAGATAAGGTCCATAGTCCGGTTGACGGTTGCGAGTTACGACCTGATAAATATTATCTAAAATCAAATTTTCTTTCCAGGCATACTCCCTGCACGCTACATATTATCCGTTTTCGGCTCCATAGGCTTTGCAATAGTCTATGGGCTGAAAGTAAACCTTTCTGTCGCTATGGTGGGGATGCTGAACCATACTGCACTTAAAAAGGCTCAAGGGGATTCTGATGCACACGGCTCCGGAGGACCAGGGGAGTGCACAGCTCCTGGTGGAAGCAGTAACGCTACGGTAAGTTTATTTAAATCATGTATAAGAGTGCCTGTGTCACCTGTGTGTGATATTTGCTATTATTGCTTCGTACTGAGAGCCATAGAGCGCAGATTCTTTAGGGTTTTAAGACTCCATTGACACTGTTATGCTAAAATAGTTATGGATCACAAACAGGTACACTAAGAAATGGTATTAATGGTAGCATCAACTTACTAGTGAGTTGTTACAGTGAAAAATTACCTTCGCTTTGGCTCAATAGCGGACTCAAAGTTTCTTTGAAGAAACTGTTCGAAAATATGAGGTGATTTAAATTACAGCGGCAGATAGACAAATGATTGAAAAAGATTAATCTATGAAGTTTCTTGCTCGTTCTTCTCCATAGGAATCTACACCTTGAAATGAGCAAATAGCTTCACGTTTTTTTTTTTTTTTTTGTTGACGTTCAAAAGTGCCTTTCTGGTCTAATTTGTTGGCGCGGTGGCTGGGCAACTAGCTGCCGCGCTACGTGTCGCGGGTTCGATTCCCGCCCGGAACAACTCTTTGTGTGATCCACAGATTGTTGTTCCGGGTCTGGGTGTCATGTGTATAATATGATATTGTATGTTTGTAAACGCACCCACGACACAGAAGAAAATCCTAGTGTAGTTAGTGTAATTTTTTTTTCTAATTAAACTTTGCCCCTCGTTTAATTAGAAAAAAAATTAGAATAAATGATTTTGACTTTCACTTTGTTCTTCATTGATAGGTAACTAGCATACACAAAACAGGAAAATTAAAACTGTTTATTTTCTAAAGATAAGAGAAATCGTTGCACTTAATTGCAACTCAAGCAAGTCTTGTCAGTTGCATCATAAAAGTTCGCACAATGTTGTATTCATTCGACCCAATTTCCATTTACTTGTAATAAACATGAGTTGTTTTTAAATAGCAATAAATTGGGACGCTCGTAAACGATGATATGCGAATGTCATTCATTTCATTGGCTGTATGTTGATGTATAATTCATTTTCGGTTATGCTATGTCGCCGTCTTCTGTTGCCATGTGGGAAATTATGCCAGACTGTTTTTTAATTTTTTTTTTAAATCGGTCAAGGAGAATTTGTATTGTTGCGAAAAATAAATGGTTTTAATAATTTTAATAACTATGAACTTCAGTAGGTACACATTAAAATTTGGATTTAAATGAAATTCTGAACTACAAAGTCTTTTCGTGATTTAGTTTAAATGTAGAATGAATACATTATTCTACTAGATTCTGCCCGCGACTACGTACGCGCAATCCCGTTTTCCCCCGTTCTCGTAGGATTTTAGGAGAACCTAACAATAACAAATACAACAAAAAAAGAATTATTATGTTTTCGGCTTACTCACGTAGTAATTCGACGAGGAACTCGACTAGTTTCAAGCCATGCTAGAGGCTCATATTCATGAGCAGCATTTTGCGACCCGCGACGCGGCGACTGTTACGATTAGGATACTGTAGTAATTTTGTGTAGGTGGGAAACATATCTATAAAATAACTTATAAAAAGCTCATAATCGGCCATAAAGTTTTATAAATACTTTTGGCACGTCTCAAATGATTCTGAATAAAGAATTTAAAATGAAAACGTTACAATGTTCATAAGCAATAACAAAGCAAAATTCATTTTCCAGACGTCTTGAATCAACTATAGTGATTTGATATTTTTATTAACAATGGCTGTTACATAGGCACTAATATACTAGAAGTTGATAAGTTAACAATGTCTGCGATAATGGACAATAAAAAATGCAGACTAAATTGCTACCTGCAAGGCTGGAAGTCATTTAATTTGATATTGGAGAGTTGTTTTAAATATACTCGACTAATGCCTCGTTGGCCGAGTGGTCGCAAGTGCGACTGCCGGACAAGGGGTCTTGCGTTCGATTCGCGGGTAGGGCAAAGTATTACTGGGTGGTTAAAAATCCTCAGTAGTAGCACGGAGTTTGGAAATGTGCCCGGTATATGGCAATAGGCTCACCCCTATTACACAGGACTCATAACATAAATAGTGAAAAGTGGATGCTATATTGTACAGTGGCATTAAGTGCCGTAATGTGTACCTCTGCCTACTCTTTCGTGGATAAAAGGCGTGTTGTTATGTTGGTTTAAGTATTTAAACTTAGTTTATATTGAACAAAAAATTGGAAATATATTCCGCCCTTAATAAATCCCGCTGCATAAATTTGGTCCTCAGGATTCAGGTCAGTCTATAACGGTTTTTTTGAAGACTACATAAATCTGAATCTAGAAGGACCGTATCTTACAAAGCACTAGCATGCGCATGTACCGTATTTTCTGTTCAGGAATTAGATGGCCCCTTCACATGGTCATCGGAGGTCCAGGGCATTGTCCTCAGTTGTTATTTCTGGGGATACTTCATCTCGCAATTACCTGGTAAGTTTATTTTCATTTAACATCACTTTATACTTAAAAGTACCTATAATTTTGTTCTATTGACTTAATTTATTCTCATTGATTTGTGCCAAAAAAGCTACCACTGGTTTCCAATGTTGGAAATTAATCATTACTCCGAATTTTTCCTATTGCTATGTCATTTTAACTCGTCGAGTACCGGTTTTGTAGACACAATTATAGAACAATAGGTTGCGGTCACCGGTGACCGCTTGGTGTTTGACAGTTTAATCAGTATATTGCAAGTTCCATCGAAATCGTTAAAGCCATTTTCGAGAAATTGTTTAACAAACATTATTTTGTCCATCAGCCGCCCGTATCGCAGAGTTGTACTCTGCTAAATGGGTGATGTTCTTCAGTGTGTTCATCAATGTGGTGTGCACTCTGCTTACCCCCGTAATGTGTAATCTGCACTATTCTGGCGTCGTGCTCATGCGCATAGGAGAGGGGATTGGAGGGGTAAGTAATATAAAAAAACCGCGTTTTTAAGAAAATTATTCATAAATTATTTGGTTCTTAATTATTATAACTTCCATTTTCAAAAGTTTTCCTCGTCCGAATTGGGAGCAGAATAAGAATATAATTATAATGTGAACACTGTTACATATACCTTGTTCGGGCAAATAAATGATTTTTGATTTTGATAAATACATAGTTGATATTAGAATAAGATAGAAGATTAGAAGAAAGAAGATCGATTCTTTGAAAGGAAAGAAGGAACTGAGTTGTTTATTAGTATTAACTTAAAGTTCTGTTGATTTCAAATCTATTCTGCGTGTTTTCTGTATACACGCAGCTAATATTTCGTGTTGTTAGGTAGGTATATTAGCCCTTAGATTTTAGCTTATTCCATACACATTCTTAAAGCAAAACATTCCTCATTATTTATATTTATAAACCCTTTTGAAAGCAAATGCGTTCACGTACGTACATGAAACAATCAGTCCATATTTAACCGTTCAATTTCACACCGGGTTCATTGTCTCCTTAGGAACAATGTTCATTATTATTGACTTCAATGCGCTGATTGGGACCTTATTAGTTGTTAGGTGGTTTCATAAATAGAAACAAGTATTTGACTGAAAGACTGCCTCGTTGGCCGAGTGGTCACGAGTGCATCTGCCGGGCTCTCGGGTCTCGGGTTCGATTCCCGGGTCGGGCAAAGTATTACGAGGTTTTTTCAAAAAATCTCGGTAGTAGCACGGATAGACTCGTGACATAAATAGTAAAAAGTGGGTGTTACCTTGTACAGTGGCAGTAAGTGCTGTAATGTGCACCTCTGCCTACCCCTTCGGGGATAAAAGGAGCGATGTTATGTTAAACAAGTATTTGTGGTACTGCTTATACAGGGTATCTTAGTAAATATGTAAAGGGTTGAACTGGTAAGTGGCTATCATAATATCAGACGGGTCACCTGATGGGAAACAATCAGTGCTATCCATGGATACCATAGAAGATACAACAAGTGCTATACCGGCCTCCAAAAGATTTTTAATGGGCTAAAATTAATGAATGACTGCTCCCGCCTGGGTGAGGCGGGAGTGAGTGTCAGACTCTTACTGACTAAAAACCACCCCGTTCCTTCTCCTGCACTTCGAGCCGGAGCCCCAGTAACCCTTTAGGTTCTTCGCGGCTCCAAAAAGGGTTCGGCTTTCGTTAAACTTCCTCACATGGCGAAACACAAGCCTTGTGAATGTTTTGTAATTGTGAATAACGCCACACATTTATTTCCACTAGCTTTTAGCCGCGGCTTTGCCCGCATAGTCCTGTCTAATCCCATGGGAGCACTTAATCGGAATAAAAGTATCCGATCTTCTAAGTCACCCCCTACCTTGCCTGTATAAATTTCATCAAAACGCGTTCAGTGGTTTCAGCGTGATTGACGAACAAACATTTAAATAAAGAAACTTTCACATTTATTTTATAGGTAAAATTGAGTATTGAGGGATTTCATATTTTTTAAAGATAAAGATAAAGATATATTTATTTCTAAGTACATGGTACACTGAGATCTTACATTAAACATGGGTTTCTATGTACATATACTACCATTTCTGGTGTCATATTAAATATTAGCTTATTTACTATTTCTCCATGCAAATCTTAGACATTACAATAATCTTCATTTGATACTTGTAAAAAAAAAACTATTTTCCCATGTGTAAAAGACCTTCTAGTCACCGGAGGACACACGAGTGCGTTGCCCACTAAACCAAACGAGGTTGACTGATAATCTTCTAAACAGGGTGTAACGTTTCCCGCAATGCACACGATGCTGTCAAAATGGGCGCCGCCATCAGAGCGGAGCTTCATGGCTGCACTGACTTACGCCGGGACCTCGTTAGGCACCGTCATATCGATGCTGATGGCTGGTGTACTCACTGCTAATATTGGTAATGAAGTTTTTTAATTGGTAAACTTTATTAATAACGAAAAATCGCTGCTCATGAGGAAGAACCCCTCTGTGGTTCGAAACTAGTAGAGCTCAGTATATTCACGTGAGTAACCCGCGATTTTTTGTTAATTTAGTATATCTCACGATAGTTATTATAAAAACTTTATTATTGTATTAAATCAATAATAATTCCACTTTAATCCATCGTTTTTATACATTTTCAGAAGAAGTTGTAAACTGTCTGTAGATTTGTTCTGTTTTGCTGAAGAATATGTGAAATTAAAGATTCATGTCAAATTGTCATTGTATTGAATACATTCTGTTCAATAGGGTCGCATTAATAGTACCCGCATCTAGCGAGTGTGAGGACATAGACATCAGGTGATGAATGAATCAATGTCAGAGTGTCAGGCTCTAAGTCTAAAACTCCATCACAATGTCGATATAGGTACCCAAGTCAATTTTCATTAACAAAAAAAAAAATTCTCCTCTACGTTACTCCTCGAAGATGATCAGACTAGACCTTTTCTTTCAGGTTGGGAGAGTGTATTCTACGTAATGGGTGGTTTGTCTCTGATCTGGTGTGTGTTATGGGTGGTGCTGGTGCAGGACACGCCTCAGCAGCAGAGGTTCATGAATGCTGATGAGAGGACCATGATCCTTCAGGCTTTGGGCAATCAAGAGAACCAAGGACCGAAGGTAAGACGAAGAAGCTTTTGCAATAGATACAGTCACACAGTAGATACTGCTGTAGAGTCTAGATAGTCCTTATTTACAATGCCCAAATATCTTGAAGCGAAGTACTATCCTTCGTTTAACCCTTTAACCGCCAAGATTCTGAACTTTCAACTTACCTCCAGCGCCACGTCACTTTAGGTATAAGTTGGAACAGTGTTGGAAACACTTAATATCGATGCATATATTCTTTAATCATTAAAAAATTAAAATCAATGTTTTATTTACCTTCTTAATAAATAATCTAAAAATTTTCAATCTTCAAACGAAGTATACGAAAATGTGTATTCGGGAAATGGGCACGGCGTCTTCCGTTCTCCTGCTGGCGACGGTGACGATGCTCCACGAGCATGTCGTATTTAATTTAATATTTTCATGTAAACTTCTGAGCGGATTTCCGACAGTACGGTTTCCAGCTCAAAAGGTTTTAAAGATGCAAAGTATTCATTTCGTGGATCACTTGGTCTCTGATCAAAAACTTTGCGTCACCATCTTCTAACTTTGCATAATGGACACATTTGGTTTTGACTGTGTTGATTTATTTGAGAAATAACAAAAACCCAAAAAAGGGTTTACAACACTAGTTGCATTGAGTGATAAATGTTTAACGTGATTTTACGGTGACGGCGCTAAGGCAACTCACAATACAGCGCTTTAATCTCCTTGGCCGCACGTAATATTACGGTGATGGCGACCGGCGATTGTCCGCACTAGTGCGGTTCTGCGTTATGAAATTTTTATATTATTGTTATAAATATTAAATAATTTTAAACTTAAATACATTTTAATTAGTACAAATACTTGCATCAAAGTAACACTATGGTTATTTTCTAATGAAAGTATACACTTTCATTGCAAATAGTGACAGTAATATCTATAGTGCCTTGTTTGTTCTTAGACAACCTATTAAGTATTTTTCGAATTCGCCCCATCCCTAGTACTCGTAAAATTACGTGATTGGCGATACAGATAATGGAGACGGTGACCACAATTTAATTAAACCTCAAATTTCACAGTATTTATCACTCAAAACATTGAGAAATATCCATAACAATAAAGATTATACCCTACATCTTGAAATTGACACATTTTATATGGAGTTTGTGCACTATAAGAAGATTTTTAATAAAATAACGTGATTGTACGTATGTGGCGATTCGGACACAGCTTTCGAAAACCGTAATATTACGTTGTCGGCGGTTAAAGGGTTAAAAAAATATACATTCTTTTTTCACATTTGCTATTTAGTCCAGGACATTCATCAAATTTTTAGAAAATTTACTTCTCGTCTCTCGCTTACTGTTCGTAGTTATACGATCTATTACCTCAGTTTCATATCCCTTGCAGCAAAAGCATCCAATGCCTTGGGGAGCAGCGTTCAAGTCGCCAGCATTCCTTGCGATCCTGATAGCACATACTTGTTCCAACTTTGGCTGGTATATGGTGCTCATCGAACTGCCCTTCTACATGAAACAAGTCCTCAAGTTCAATATGACTGAGGTAAGTATTTTCCTAGAAAAATAGTCCAGTATAAGTATTTTGTTTTGTCTTGTGTTATGGCTGCGATTTTTTGTCGATAATGGTAACATTATCTTTTATGCGACTGTAAAAGAAGGTTTATGCTTTAAGAGTCTGACACTCTCTCTCGCCTCACCCAGGCGGGAGCAGTCATTCGATGATTTCCCCCCCTTAAAAAAAGGCTTTTATTATAGTTTTTAAGACTATAATAATAAGATTAAAGTGTAAGGAACGAAGTTAGAATTCAAGAAGGTTCAGTAAGTAACGGTTTGAAATCCAAGAGGTAAGTACTTATTTTTTTTTATTTTGAACTTATCATGTAACAAAAGTTTACTCACATGTTACCTTGACTTTGATAAATATTCGGTCGCAGAACTTTTTTCCAATTAAGTAACTACTAGACGCATTTATTTATTTATATGAATAGAGCGGTACAAAAAAAGACCAATTCATAAAAGACCAGACTGCACGGTTGGTGCGGTGGCTGGGCAACCGGCTGCCGAGCAACGTGTCGCGGGTTCGATTCCCGCACGGAACAACACTTTGTGTGATCCACAAATTGTTGTTCCGGGTCTGGGTGTCATGTGTATGTGAACTTGTATGTTTATAAACGCACCCACGACACAGGAGAAAATCCTAGTGCGGGGCAACGTTTTTTAAAAAAAGAAAGAAAGAAATAATTACACTACTCAATAAATACTACAATTGAAAGAACGAATCCATTTAAACACTTATCCATTATTAAATACTGACGTTCATTCATCTCTTTCGTAAAACTTCAAGCATTCCGACAAAAATAATCTTCTTTCACTCAAAAACACATCACACTCTGGCGTTGAGTCCAGGAATCGGTTTAAAAGTTTCATCGTACGTGGTAACGGGGATATAATCTAGGTACTGACTGTTCTGCAGGATGGTAAAGCAAATAACTGGTGCTTTCTTTTGCGACAGTCATTGTCAGGAACAAATATACGAAGGAACTCATTGTGCAATTCCGGAGCATCAATTCGACCGTGAACAATTTTGTGTATTATAAAAATTTGTAATAAAATGTATAAATTACTTTTGTATTAGGTATATATATTTTTAAATATGTATGTAGGTCACAGGATAAAGTCATAGATAATTTGGTCTCTATAATAAATAATGTTGTGGCGTCCAACTATTTACTATGCATGGGACCCATAATACAGCGACAATTTTATGCGAATTATTCCGACTTTATCTAAATTTAAACCACGTTTGTTTCATTTATTTGAATTACCAATCAGGCCTTTGTTTTTGGCGCTATTGACGCTTAGACTTGTTAGCCCAATCGCGGTAGCTGTCAAATACTGACTGACCAATGGCTTTACGATAGCTGATAATTTATTAGTGCTTACGTCACCATTCTGAATTTAAACTGAGTCGCTTTTTGCGCATGTGTCAGAACCGACAATCTATATTCATTCATTCCCGCTCAGCCGTTCCGAACGATGTCGTTCATTCCTAATTCCGCTGTCAGAGGCGAATAACAAATGAAGGGACACATTTGTTATTTAATTTCAATGTGAAGTTTATATTAACCAACCGGTTAATTTGTGTTACGGACCCGTTTTAATATAAAAGGTATGATTGTAATTTATTTACTTATTTATGTTATTTATTTATACAAGATGATAGTGTCATACATTATGAAATTTTAGATGGGAGGCCCTAATAAGAAATTCAGATACTGTGTGATAAAATTAAAAAAAGCTGGAGAGCCATGGTTGGATCCGTATATTTGTGTGCCGTATTCTTGGTTGAGGTTGCACAAAAAGTCGGTGATTGTTAAATATCCGCAAGAAAGTAAATCACTGACGACATACAGGGTGAAACACTGTGAGGTCAGTCAGCCGAATTGGTTGACTTTTGGGGCTGATATCAAATATAAGACGGGTGAGTTTCTACTTCTTTATCATTATCATATCAAATATTTTTCTTTGCTTATATTTTTCGATTCTAAGCATCCCTCATCTGACTATTCCTTCTTATTAAAAATTCAAATATAATTATGATTGATGATGCATGCACTGACCTTTCGCCTTCCGAATCTGAGCTATGCTTGTTATCAGTATTTTTTAGATAAATAGGTTTAAAATATCCTATATTAGTGCGTATTTTGTTTTCAATTCGCGACTTGAGGCCTAATAGGGATACAGTTAGATACCGATGGCGCCGGTATGACTGTTTGTTACAGGTAATCGATTGTTATCGGTTGACAAGGAGTTTATATTTAAATCGTAATTCGCATGTCTAATGTATAAATATATGTATAATAAGTCCTCTAAACTAATATAAATGAAAAACAATGAGTAGTACTGAATTTTATATATGGTTTGTTATGGCACGTGTAACCAGGTGCTCGAGAAGGGCGGGGGGTGGAGGGGAAAGACGTCAATATATGCAGTGCCGGATTAAGCCAGCGCGGGGCCTGTAGCAAATTCTGTCTAGGGGCCCTTGGTTTGCTATCGGTTCTCATTTGGGCATTAAATAAAATTGGTGCCTTTCTTTTTTCTGGCGTCAGTCGATGATTTATGGAAGATATTGTCTGGAATGATATCACAAACGAAATTGTCCCCATATACATATATGAAAGTGAGCCCATAGGGTTCATGTATGGAAATCTCAGTCTGGACTGAGTTATGAGCGTTGAAAGGAGCTGAAGTCAAACATTTTACTTTGGTTTTTTTTATTCAAATCTTATATCTAATACCATTATCTTATATACTATTATATAAAGCGGAAGAGTTTGTTTGTTTGTTTGAATTACTAATCTAATCTCCGTAACTACAAGTCTGATTTGAATAATTCTTTTTGTGTTGGATAGTGCATTTATCGAGGATAGCTATACGCTATAAAACATCACGCTACGACCAGTAGGAGCCGAGCAGAGCGTGTGAAACCGCGCGGAAGTAGCTAGTTATTCATATTTTTGTCACAATTCCCAACTTTAAATTGCGTGCAACTGTACGTCGGGCGCAGGAATACCATATCACACCACAATATATTCATATTGCCAGGCACTAATTTTTATAACCTATTTTCTCTCAGTCGATAACTTGTGGGATGCTTCTAAGAGTTGTGTCATGAAGCTTCATGAGCGTCAGCTATGTTACCAGTGGTGGGTTGAGCGGTGGTAGCCGTGCGAACATCTAATAAAGTGTATTTTGTTTTGCCATTGACTCCTGGTGGGAGACTCATCTACTTTATAGTTCGCATAATCTTTTGTAGAAAGGTAACCGTCGACTTTGTAAAGTGATATACGTCAGATGAGCGTATATTTTTTTTTCATATAATGTGATCAGTCGAAATATAGTCCATCACTTTGTGACTGAATGACGATATCTTTGTACAGAATCTTATGCTAGCTCTAGATTAGAGTATTAACTGTAGTTAAATTTGTGACTAATCGGGAGTAGGTCGGGAGAAGTAGACAGAAAAAAAATTTTTTCGTGTTTCGACGATTGCCACTACTCAATGCGCTACCGACGCCGCAGCTGACAAACATAGCATTTCGTGATAGGGCTCAGTAAAGTATTTTGCGGGTTTTCGACTGAGAGGGTATTGAAACTTACATGAAAATCTGTCATAGGCCATAAACCATATACATAGGTATAAAGTGAACACGCTAGCCAAGCAATCGAAATGTTTTTTTTTACTTGAGCAGTGGCCAGTTAAAGACTCTGATAGGGTTCCGTGGCCTTATAAAAACAAGTGCGAGTCGGACTCGCGCACCGAGGGTTCCGTACAAACCTGAAAGGTTTACAAAGTTCGTTCATTACGACATATTTTGTAATATAACTAAAAATTTAAGGTTTTCGGAATTTTTCCTTTATGTGTGCTATAAAAAGTTGCTTCATGCCAAATTTCAAGATTCTAGGTCGACTGGAAGTACCCTTTAGGTTTTGATTCCCTTGCGAGTACTTGCGAGTTTCAAAATATGCAGCTTAAATTGCTGTTTCTTTTGATTGCGTTGACATAGAAGTTTGTTTTTGATACAGCTAAAAGGACGGAAAGGAAGGAAGAAAAAAAATTTATGGTTTTCGTAATTTTTCCTTTATCTATGCTATAAGACGTTGCTTCGTACCAAATTTCAAGATTCAGAGTTCACGGGAAGCACCCTGTAGGTTTTGATTCCCTTGCAAGTGTCGAAAATTTGCGGCATAAACGGCTGTATCTTTTGATTGCGTTGGCTTAGAAGTTTGATTTTTTCACAGCTTCAAGGGACAGTAGACCTGAGTAATTGATATATAAGCTTCATACCTCCACGCGTTCCTGAGAAAAAGAGTCTTGACAGACGGACGGACGGACGGACAGACGGACAACAAAGTGGTCCTATAAGGGTTCCGTTTTTTCCTTTTGAGGTACGGAACCCTAAAAAGAAGTCCACTATAAGCTTTACTATATTCCTTGAAATCGTTTATAAACATTTATTACAAAATATTTCTGACAAGTAAATGAAGAAATATGCGTTGTGTACTGTCACCATCAACAAAATAACAGGAATAATATAGCACTATTTTCACATCTTTGAAATGATTTAACTCGGTTTGGACTGTGTTTTTGATATAAGACCCCATATATTTTTTTGTTTGTAATTTTATTCTGCATCAGTTTTTACACATCCAATAAACTGCCGCGAAAAATAAAAAGGCACCACGCTCCATACAAATTTGGTCATTGTCATTTAGGGTATTATTACATAAAACAAAACTGTTACAAATAAACTTTTCTGGATTTGTTATGGGCAAATTTAGCGATTACACTTTCAATACCGACTTCTTTAAGCAAGTCATGTTCTATATTCAACATTGTGAAATGATTAAGACGTCCTTGGCCCACAGTGTTCCTTAATTAACTCGTCGAGTACCGGTTTTGTAGACACAATTATAGAACAATAGGTTGCGGTCACCGGTGACCGCTTGGTGTTTGACAGTTTAATTCATTTTTGATTCGTT